GTACAGGTCAGGAAAAAACTAAGAAAAATGAAGATCTGACTTGAGGACCAGGACGGAAACCGTAAGAGAACAGTTCAGCCAACTCACCGAGTTGTGGCCTGGGGTTGCAGCATCTACTATCATCATGGAGTGATCAGGCAACAGATGTAAATATCACTGATTGGATGTCAACAAAATCTGAAACTGCTGTCTAAAAATGAAGGATGCAGAAGGCATGCACTTAGAACCCCAAGATGTATTGTGTCTTCTTGAGTGGCATTTGCCCATAGAAAGTTCAGCTTGAGTTGCCTGCTGGATTAAGAACACAACTTCCTAAACCTTCCTGCTATCGAGAAACTAATTATGACTAAGGATGTCTCTGAAACTGTAGAAGCGCCACCAAAATCTAAAAACCCCAGGACAGATCAGGTTTACAACTATGTTAAATATCCTAAGTGCATGTATCACGTGTTGATATGACAATACCAAGAATTTCTGGCAGGGAAACAAGCCAAACTAAAATTCACAATTGAAGATTTTACAGTTATGAAGCCAAAAATCACATATGTAACCTGAACAATTTCAGACCTATGGTAGGCTTAATGACTAACAGCAAAATTTCCCACTGTCATAGCCAAGAGGAATCATTATCCAATGACCAGCAATGTTGACTGAAACAAAATGACTGCAAGCAGGTCTCAAAAGAAAGTAACCTCAACATCCTTTGTAACTGACAATATAAAATTTTCAGTCAGGTAAGTACAAGGTAGAAGAACTGAACCTCTCTATTGCCTGGATAGACTACTTAAAACAATTCAGTTCCCTGCTACTGACCAATCGGATCATAGGAGAAAGCAGGAATAGAAAGGACCTCATAAAGGTCATTTAGTTCAGTCCGTGGTCAAGGCAGGATCATCCTGGACTAAACCATCCCAGCCAAGTGCCTGTCTAACCTGCTTTTGAAAATTTCCATGGATGGAGATTTCTGCAATTTCAGGTGGCCTGTTTCAATGCCTGACTACCTCATAGTCAAAAAGTTCTTCCTAATCCCCAACCTGCTTTCCTCTGCTGCAGCTTGAGGCTATACCTTATAGCCTACACAGACAGGGACAGACAGTGGAGCGCCGCCATGGCAGTGGGGACTGACGGGCCAGAGGCAGAGGAGGATGATGGTGGTGCTGAGGACCTTACACTGACAAAGGAAGGCTATATTCATCCTCTTTATCTCTCACCCTTCAAGTGCTTTTCTTCAAGAGGCTGAACATTCCTAGTTTTTTCAGCTTTTCTTCATAAGTCACATTTCCCAGACCTCTAATAATTTTTGTCACTCTCTGTTGGATTCCTTCCAAACTATCCACATTTCTTAAAATATGGGGCTTAAAACTGGACACAGTACTCCAGGTGCCAAACACAGGGAAAAAAATGTCTTCTGATTTTCAAGTGACACTCCTTTTACTATAACTAGGTATGCTGTTGACTTTATGGAAAAAGAACCCACAGCTCACTCATAATCAGCTTATGGTCTACTGCAACACCCAGGTCCTTCTCTGCAGTACTGCAGCCTAGCTAGGCATTCCCCAGTCTATATTTGTACATGCAGGTATTGCATCCCAAGTGCAGCACTTTGCACTTGTCCTTGTTGAATCTCATCTGCTTGCTTTCAGACCATTTCTCCAATTTGTCCAGGTCCTTCTGGATCCGTGTCATCATAGTGCTCAGGTGCACAACAGATTTAAAATCACTTTTGTTCATGATGAGGATTTCATGCATATCCAGGACTAAAAGTATGTGACACCAATCCTGGTGGGCAGAGTTATCTTTAAAAGACAGCCCAAGCTCAATATGGTTCTGCCTCTCACTTGATCCATCAAGCTAGAATACTGTGAGACTCAGCTAAGATTATGATGTCACCAAAAAGCCACCCAATTGTTGCATCTACTCTATGTGCATGACCTGAAATTCTCTCTCTCCAATGCAAGTCAACACAAGAAAGTAACAGAACTTGTAAACTCCTTCAGTTACTCTATATCCATAAGTTATGGGTTGGATAGGCATGCTGTATTACATGTTCAACTTGGAGGTGTGGTTAGGCACCTGAAGCTTGTGGATGAAGCCATACATCAAGGAGGTGGCCATGAAGTGGGCATACAAATATCTGAGGCTGAACTAACTTCTATAGATGAAACACTGGAAGAATGGAAACTAAGAGGTTCCTCAAGAGGTTTTAATGCACCTGGAGGCCTGAGTTATATTTCAAACACAAAACTGTGGCAATAAACAGCTGGGTTATATTCACATACTTCAAGACAAGTCTGGAAGCCCTGGACAGAAAGATGAGGATGTCCTTTACAAAGTACTTCGTAAAGGATATGTTTTAAAAAGATGGATTCGTTGACGGACTATAATATACCTTGTCAGACAGATGAAAGACACCTATTGAATCTTGAGCAATTTTGCAACAGTCAGGTGGGAGACTTGACGAAATATTTTTTTGTTATTAATGACTATTCCATTATATCATGCTGCTGTCAGGATCAATCAGGATTTTATGCCTCTAGTGTTAGAAACAGAAATATTATAAGCAGTAGGACTTTCAGTGGAATGGCATAGGTCAGCACTGAAACAGAGGGAGGAATGCCAGTTGAAGGCACTACATGGCAGTGGCATTACTCTGCATTGAAGGCATTACTCTGCAGACCAAGTAAATCACCAGCACTTGACTGCCTGGCTGAAACATGGAAGACTTAGTGACAGAAAGGGCTGCATGTGCACCCTCCAGGATTAATTGAGACTAATAACGATAATGCATTCATCTTGAGAATATGCCTGATGTGCAGAATATGTCTTCACATAGTCCTCTTCTTAGAACGATACTGCAAGCTTCTCTCAGTGCAGAGAAATGCCCTTCTTTTGAATGGTACAAGATGATGTGAGCGCCTTACCTGTATTTAAAGTATCCACGGTATGTACACTGGCTTTCTATTTTCCTCTAGGTACAAATCAGTGTTGGATGATGATCTTTAAAGCAACAAGCTAGTTATCTGAAAGACCTTTGGTTCCCCTTGCAGTAATTTGGATTGCTCTTTTGGTTAGTTCCTAAGGCTGCACACTAGGAAAACAGCACAGATTTCCAAGGTGAAGGTTCCAAACTTTAGAATTCACTCACTCTGTAAAACTATTAAAGCTCTTCCTTGGTTACCTGTGATATTCAAATATTTTTGTTTTATTTTTGTTCAGAGATTATTTTTTGTGAGCAAATTATTTCCATACCCAAGTGCTGAGAAAAGAAATATGTCGTTAAGTTAGCTTATATGCCAGTTAAGATGGTTAGTTTCCTTTTGTTTTTTGAGCTTTTGAGTTTTACATGTTCAAGGTTTTCTGTGCAACAAGGCCTTGACATTTTAACTGTGGGTTGGCAACCCTGCAAACAGCGTATCTAATTTAGTCTTAATCTTTGTAACTGAAGTACTTAGCTACTACTGCAATAAGCAATATGAAAACAATCTCTTAAATACACGATTTTTGCAAGAGTAATGCAAAATACAAATTCAGTTTAATTTTTTGCATGCAAGTAAGTTAAGAGCGTACAGGGTTGCAAGATCAGTGACTAAGATTTTTAAGTTTGTAGTATCTACCTGTATATAGTTTTCTTATAATTAACTACTGATCCAGCAAATCCTTAATCACAGTCTTAAATTTATTGCCATGAGATGCACATTCATTATCACTTGAAAGAAGAGATCTACTCCTGATAGGAAAGTTAAGCATAAGGGCACATGTGTATAGGCCTATAAAGTTTAGTTATTCTCAACAATAGCTCATTCAACTAATTACTGTGAATTAGCAAAATTCTTGTGTGTTCAGAAACAAAGTTCCTGAAGACATGAAAAAGGGCCTTCTCCCTCCTTCGCTGTGATGCTCAATGCAGCATATTCTACCATTGGTCACTGTGTGAACCCTAAACTGTTTTTTTTCAAGCTAAGCTTCTGGTCCCAGGACAAACAGCTTCACTGTACTCACAAATTCACTTCAGTTCAAATGGAATCAGAACTTGTGGTAGAGGTGATATCTTTTATTAGACCAACTAGATATATGCAAAAACATTTCTTTAATTGTAAGTTTTCGGGTACAAGCACGCTTCTTCAGGCAAAGGAGAAAAGACTGTAAAAGCTCTCCTGGGTAGAAATAAAAGTTCATATTTCATAGGAGAGCAGAAGGTGTGGAAAAATCTCCTGTTTGGAACAGTTCATTTTATATGCAGATAAGGCTCAGATAAAAGTTGGAATAGTCTGTTTATCTTGAAGTTATTTGGTCATAAGCAGTCATATTTCCCTCTGGTGATGGTGTTTCATATTTCATAGAGAATTAAAAGATGGAATGAATTAAAGATTTTTTTTTGCAAAAATGTAGTGGGTCTAATAAGAGACATCACCTCTACCACAAGGTTCGGTTCCTTTTGCCTCTAGACCAATCCAGCTACAACCTGGATACCTTTGATTCCAATGCCAGTCATCTTCACTTTAAAAGTACTGATCTGCCTCTAGTATTTTTAATTTGAATTTAACCCGGCCACTTTCTCCATGGGGCAACCCCAGACGGTTTGTAACCCCAAGCCTGGTTGATCACATTTCCTTTCCAGGATGAGGCCATGGGGCTCTGTACCATCCTCTTCCCAGCAACCCCTGCCACCCCGACTCAGGCAGTGGAGCTTTATTTTCACATTTTGACTCTCATGTCACTCCCATCCTGATTTTTTTCCCTTTAGTTGCTCTCCCTCCCAAAAACAAAACAAAACAAAACAAAACAAAACATTTTAGTTGTATCTTTTACTCTTTGGCCCCACACAGTGGAGACCAGTTAACTGGATGGGCCTATGTCCACCGGAAGATACAGACAGGCTAGGGAGCTTGCCCAGAGGCCACCCGCTCCGAGGGGCACCCACGTGCGGCCCGAGCCTTTCCTCCCTGCGCGAGGCAGCCCCCCCCCAGTGCCGGGCGCGAGACCCCGGCCCGCCCACGCACCTGGCTGCGGGTGACGAGCACCTGATAGAAGTCCTTGCTGGGTGCCGGCGCCTGCCCGCGCTCCTCAAACAGCTTGTCCGGCAGCAGCGACGCCATTTTGGGACGCCGGCGCGCGGTGGCTATGGCAACCAGGAAGGGGCGGGGCCCGCCAGGGGTCACCGGTGGCCCCGCCCCCTCTTAAAGGAGCCAGGCGCTATTCCCGCCGCGGCTCCGCGGGGGCTTCACCCCAGCCGCGCGCCCAGGCCGCGGCGCTCCCGGGCTCCGGGAGAGGCGCGTCCCCGTCGCGCTTCGCGGCGACA